AAAAAAAAAAAAAAAAAAAAAAAAAAAAGAAATACATGTATACAAATATATTGTCTAAACATTAATGCCCAAAGAAAAAAAAAAAAAAGGACTTCAGAGCACATCTATTTGATATTTCAGAGAGGAAGGGGAGTCTCAGAGGATAAAAGACCATATTCAGTTACTTTCATAATTAAGAAAAAATGTACTTGAATTTAACAGATGTGCCTGCATTCTACAAGCATTTATCTAAGACAGGGCCCTGACTTGAAGCTATAAATAAAAGCATATTTCATGAATCTGACTTTGAAAACATGAATGAGAACAATTGTGTAAGTGCAGGTTTGTAGCTGCATCATGTGATCCCAGAGTCCCTGATCACTGGTTCTTAATTTGACCCTCATGGGCCCCTTCTATGAACCCTGATGTACCTCCCCCCTATTATTTAATTAGCCTCATTGCTCCTCCCGCCCTCCATCCAGCACATGAGAACTTTTCTTCTCTTTCTCTATTTGGCAAGTAGGAGATTCTAGTAAGGTGATCTGAGCCCACTTCTAGTCCAAGCTTCACTTCAGAACCAGCTATGTGATTTTTGTTTTTGTTTGTGAGACAGAGTCTCTCTGTTGCCTAGGCTGGAGGACAGTGGTGTGATCTCGGCTCACTGCAACCTCCACCTCCCAGGTTCAAGCGACTCTTCCGCCTCAGCCTCCCAAGTAGCTGGGACTACAGGCATTCGCCACCATGCCCAGCTGATTTTTGTATTATTAGTAGAGACAGGGTTTTACCATATTGGCCAGACTGGTCTTGAACTCCTGACCTGGTGATCCACCCACCTCAGCCTCCGAAAGTACTGGGATTACAGGCGTGAGCCACTGCGCCTGGCCCCAGCTATGTGATTTTAGGCACAACTTCTTGTATTCTCAGTTCCTTATGTAAACTTGGGATAATAATATGCGTCCTGCCGATCTGTCATGCTTGTTTCCAGGATCAAATGATGCAATGTGTCATAATGAATGCGAAAACACTTTAAAAAGCACCAAATGCTCTACAAATGTCAAGTCTTATTATTATCCTCATTACGGCTCTGCCCTTCCCTTCCCTCCTTGGCTTCCAGCCCTGCTGGCTTCCTTCCAGGATTGTCTTGACAAGTGGCTGCAATCATTTGTTGAGAAGCTTTCTCTGAACCATAAAATGTCATTCTGGAAGCTGCCCTTGGAGTAGTGGAAATCTAATTAGATTATTGGAAGTCACAGAGAGAAAAATTAGAAGCAAAAGAAACTGCATTTGAGAGAGTTCCATTGATAAAAGAAGTATTAGCCTGTAATTGTAGCAAAAAGCACTTAAAGAAGATGTTTAAGATCATGGTGATAAAGTGTGAGAGCCAGGAGGAGCTTGAATTTGGAATCCCTTCCATGTAGGGTCTGTGAATGGAGAAGCCCCGTCCGCAGGGTCTGCGCCTCCCTCTCTGTGGCATTTCTCTGTCTACTCCTGACGGGGCCCACCTCTTTCTCCTCAGGCTCCCTGGCATTGGGCAGTGGTACAGTGCACACTTCTGAACCTGAAGTCAGAATTCCTGAGAATAATGGTGAGTTGGGAGGGGCTGGGAAGGGTGGCTCTGGAGGGCATGAGGGTGAGCAGTTGCCAGCCGCCTGGGGACCTAGAGAGCATCTAGCACAGCCTACGGTTTGGGGTTGTTCCCCATCTCGTGTATGTGCTGCTGCTTCCTCCTCCGGCTCATTTTGACCCTGTCTGCAGCTGTCAAGTTGTCCTGTACCTACTCGGGCTTTTCTTCTCCCCGTGTGGAGTGGAAGTTTGATCATGGAGATACCACCAGACTCGTTTGCTATAATAGCAAGATCACAGGTGAGTCGCTTGTCCTTCCTGATTGCCTAGGTTGTGGAGGGATTATCATCCCTGGATTCTATGATCCAGGCTTTGTGCCCTTATCCCAGGGCACACTCTGGGGCTCAAGTCCCCATGGCCTTCCCATGCCCCTTTCTGGGGGAAGAAGAGAGCACCTGTGTACCTTGGATCATTAGCTTCCCTTAGCTCTCCAGTTCACTCTGTCCCTGCCCTTGCCTCCTCTTGTGGTAGCTTCCTATGAGAACCGAGTGACCTTCTCACCAAGTGGTATCACCTTCAAATCCGTAACACGGGAAGACACCGGGACATACACTTGTATGGTCTCTGAGGATGGCGGCAACAGCTATGGGGAGGTCAAGGTCAAGCTCATCGTGCTTGGTACGTGCCCTGTGGCTTCTGGGTGGACATGGAGTCAGTTACTTCCCTAACCTGTAGCAGGCTCTGCTGAGCTTTGGAGCTCATTGATGGTGAGAATGCCCATGGGTAGGGCTATTTGGACTCCTGGAGCTGCTAGAGAGGGGATGAGCCCCTGGTTAGGTGGCAACTGGGTGCATGGTGAGGGTGGAAGGCTCAAGCGGAGTAGGTGGGGGTACCATTCTAGTTGGTTTCTTGGACTCAAGCAGCCCCCACCCTGTGCTCAGCACTTTCTGTCTTTCTCCTCCATAGTGCCTCCGTCTAAGCCTACAGTTAGCATCCCGTCCTCTGCCACCATTGGGAACCGGGCAGTGCTGACATGCTCAGAACCAGATGGCTCCCCACCTTCTACATACACCTGGTACAGAGATGGCATTGAGATGCCTGCCAATCCCAAGACCAGCCGTGCCTTCAGCAACTCTTCTTATAACCTTAATCCCACGACAGGAGAGCTGGTATGGATGGGGTGGTGGTGAAAGATGTGTGGGGGATGCAGTTATAGAACCCCAAAAGGTGGGTGGAAGAACAAGCAACAGGGTGAACTTGGAACTGGGGTCAGGAGATGTAAAAAAATGGGCACTTGCTTCTTCAAGCAGGAAGCCAATTTGTTTTCCTCCCTTCAGGTCTTTGATCCTGTGTCAGCCTCTGATACTGGAGAGTACAGTTGTCAGGCAGAGAATGGGTATGGGACAGCAGTGAAATCAAATGCTGTGCGCATGGAAGCTGGTGAGAGAGTTGGGGCTTGAGCCCAGACCTGGGGTGGGGGTCGGGGTCTGCTTTCCTCCTGCCGTTGGCGACACTGTTGGTACCATGAGTATTCTAGTGCCCGACTTATTGTTTGTGTCTCACAGTGGAGCTGAATGTGGGGGCCATCGTGGCAGCTGTCCTTGTAACCCTGATTCTCCTGGGAATCTTGATTTTTGGCATCTGGTTTGCCTATAGCCGAGGCTACTTAGACAGTAAGTATCTGCCCCCAGAGGCTCTCCTTTGTACTGTCCCTTTCCCAGGGCCTGGCATGGTGTCATCTGAGTACTGACCTTGATACTGTGCTCATGTGTGTGGGTGTTGTCCCCTGGGGAGCACTGATCACCCGTCTCACACACACCAAGAGCTGTGGGCCCGCGCCTTCATCTCCCTGAGTTGTGCTGTCTTCCATCCTGCTGACACTCATGATCCTGTTTCTTCTTTTTCAGGAGCAAAGAAAGGGTAAGTGAGGTGCTGTCCTGGGGTTCTCCGAGTTTGAGAGCATGGATGCATGTGGTTTGAAGCTGAGGTGGGCCTGGGGGAATGAATTAAAGGCAGAAGCAACCAATTTGGAAGGAAGGCATCTGGATATCCTGCCTTTTCTCTGTGGCCTTGGCCCTGGGCCTGTCCTGTCTCCCCCCGCCCATACCTTTCTGCTGCTCACTCTGTGCTTCTGTAGCGGTCTCGGTTCTGGCCTTTAAAGTTGGCAAGGAGAGGTTAATAAGCACCTACATGGCTGAACATCTCCATCTTCTGGCTTGTTCATAGGACTTCGAGTAAGAAGGTGATTTACAGCCAGCCTAGTGCTCGAAGCGAAGTGAGTATGCCTGGCCAGGGCAGGGGTGGCTACCTGGGGCTGGAGTAAGGAGATTTCTAGCCTGTGTTTATGTGTTTTGAGGATTATCGGCTAAAGAAGACTATTGAGAGTTGACTGGATGCTTTGTTTCTGCAGGGGGAATTCAAACAGACCTCGTCGTTCCTGGTGTGAGCCTGCTCGGGCTCTCCGCCTGTCATCTGCACTTGCCTTACTCAGGTGCTACCAGACTCTGGCCCCTGATGTCTATAGATACACAGGATGCCTTATTTGTCTTCTACCCCCACAGGCCCCCACTTCTTCGGATGTATTTTTAATAACGTCAGCTATGTGCCCTTCCTCCTTCATGCACTCCCTTCCTTTCCTACGATTGCTGAGTGGCCTGGGACTTGTTTAAAGTGTTTATTCCCCATTTCTATGAGGGATCAGGCAGGAATCCTGAGTATGCTGTTGACGTCCCTTCTAAGTAGACAGCAAAAATGGCGTGGCTCCCAGGAATCTACACCCAATTGCCTACCTGGCCTGCAGGGGCCTTTGAATAGGGATCTTCAGTCTGGTTCTGGCCTCTTTCCTTATGTACTGATTTCCAGTGGCAGCTGTTCTAGAGTGGGGACAGAGGCTAGAATGGCTGAAATGGCTGTTTGGTGATGACACCGGGGTCCCTCCATCTCCGGGGTCCATTCTCTCCTGTCTTCCCATGGGACGTGCTGCTGGAATCCCTCCGCCCTGTCCTTCTCCTGAATACAAGCAGACAGACACTGACTGTCCGTGGAAAATGGGAGCTCTTGTGGACAGCATAGTAAATTTTCAGAGAAGGTAGAATGTGAAGCGAAAAAGGTTTAAAAGCACTGCTCTAAAGAAAAGAAAGTTGGAGGCCAGGCACCGTGGCTCAAGCGTGTAATCCCAGAACTTTGGGAGGCCAAGGCAGGCGGATCACTTGAGGTCAGGAGTTCAAGAGAAGCCTGACCAACATGAATAAATTCCATCTCTACTAAAAATACAAAATTAGCCGGGCGTGGTGGCGCATGCCTGTAATCCCAGCTACTCAGGAGGCTGAGGCAGGAGAATTGCTTGAACCCAGGAAATGGAGGTTGCGGTGAGTCGAGATCTTGCCATTGCACTCCAGCCTGGGCAACAAGAGCGAAACTTTGTCCCCCCCCCAAAAAAAAAAAAAAAAAGCTGGAGCTAGTGGGTCAGGCCGTCACCCTTCCCTTGGCTGGAACTCCTGGACAGACCCATTTGAGATGTGCCTGTGGAGATGTGTGTAGTGGTCGTAGCTCTTTGTTGAGCTTGTGTATGTTGTGTGGTGTTAGCTGTTTGCTGAAATTGAGTGTGTGCCGGAGGGCTTCTTAGCTCTTTGGTGAGATTGTATTTCTATGTGTTTGTATCGGCTGGATGTTGCTGGAAATAAAAGCTTGGTTTGTCAAGGCTTCTTTTTGTAGAAAGTAAGTAGGGGAAAACATCTTTGAGGGTTCCTGGACCCCTTTGTACAACAGGAAAATGCTTCAAAGCTGTGCTTCCCAGCAACCTGGGGCTGGTTCGCTGTGCCTGGCCCTGCTCCTTGCTGGTTCTTATCTCAAGGCAGAGCTTCTGAATTTCAGGCCCTCCTTCCAGAGCCCTCTTGTGGCCAGGCCTTCCTCTGCTGGAGGAAGGTGCCCAGGGTGAAGCTGATGCTGTACTTGTGGGATCTCCTTGGCCTGTTCCACCAAGTGACAGGAGAAAGTACTCACACTTCTACCTCCTGCCCAGCCAGGTGCATTGACAGACCTCCCTACGGCTATAGGAACAGCTGTCCCAGAGCTGAGGTGGCGGATTTCTCAGGTCATTTGGAGAACAGCTGCTTTAGTAGTAGTTGAAAGTAGTAACCGCTCCTATGTTTAGTGGGGTGGAGCTCAGAAGAATTTGGGTGGTCTGCATTGAGTGAACAGGAACGAGCAGGACAGGACCGGCTGTCGTTGCTTTCCTCCTCCCCATTTGGACCCTTTTCTGCCCTTACATTTTTGTTTCTCCATCTACCACCATCCCCCCAGTCTATTTATTAACTTAGCAAGAGGGCAAATAAAGGGCCCTCTTGGGTTGATTTTGCTTCTTTATTTCTGTGGAGGATACTAAGTGCCACTTTGCCCTATCCTGTCTGGAAATCCCTAACAGAATTGAGTTTTTTATTAAGGATCCAAAAAGAAAAACAAAATACTAATGTGAAGCCATCAGTTAAGGGTCACATGCTAATAAAAAATAAATTTTCCAGAGGAAATGAAATCCAACTAGACAATAAAAGAGCTTATGAAATGGTTCAGTAAGGTTGAGATTTTTTTTTTTTTTTTTTTTGAGACAGAGTTTTGCTCTTGTTACCCAGGCTGGAGTGCAATGGCACGATCTCGGCTCACCGCAACCTCCGCCTCCCGGGTTCAGGCAATTCTCCTGCCTCAGCCTCCTGAGTAGCTGGGATTACAGGCACGCGCCACCATGCCCAGCTAATTTTTTGTAGTTTTAGTAGAGACGGGGTTTCACCATGTTGACCAGGATGGTCTCGACCTCTCGACCTCGTGATCCACCCGCCTCGGCCTCCCACAGTGCTGGGATTACAGGCTTGAGCCACCGCGCCCGGCCTAGGTTGAGATTTTTTAAAAAATTTTTTGAGATGAACTCTCACTCTGTCACCTAGGCTGGAGTGCAGTGGCACAATCTCGGCTCACTGCAACCACTGCCTCCCGGGTTCAAGTGATTCTCCTGCCTCAGCCTCCTGGCTAGCTGGGATTACAGGCGAGTGTTACCATGCCCAGCTAATTTTTGTATTTTTAGTGGAGATGGAGTTTCACCATGTTGGTCAGGCTGGTCTGGAATTCCTGATGTGGTCTGCCTGCCTCAGCCTCCCAAAGTGCTAGAATTAAGGTGTGAGCCACCGTGCCTGGCCAAGGATGAAATTTTTAAAGTATGTTTCAGTACTGTATCATGGTTGGAAGGCCGAGTCAGGGGTTTGGAGAAAAGGCCATGGGGCGGCAGAGGTGATTCATGGCTACTCTGAATTTGAGATAAATGGTTCCTTATTGTCTAGGCTACTTGTGAAGAATATGAGTCAGTTATTACCAGCCTTGGAATTTACCTCTCTAACTTACAACAGACCTTTTGAACTGGAAAACACCTTGTCTGCTTTCTCTTTAAAATGTCAAAACTAATTTTTGTAATAAATGTTTATTTTTCACATTGAGTTTGTTTAAATCCTGAAGTTCTTACCTTAAGAGAATTGGGACTCCTAGAGTGACTGGGAGTCACCAGGAATATTCAAAATATTCCTGGTAGTCTTGTTAGCTAAGAGATTAGGATATGCTTCCATCACCTTGATATTTACATTTTAATGTTTGAATGTGAATAACCCCAAAATGGACATTTCCTATATCAAAGTGACATTAGGGGACAGAAAATGAGAGCAGTTTCATGGATTTTGGTGTTCCCCCTGAGACATAAACTCAGCATAATCTGGGATAAAATGATTGAGTGTTAAGGATGTGTTTGTTGTTCCTGTCATTTTTAAATTTTCTTCAAAGTATACAACATGACTGGAAATGCATATACATTTGTGTAATGATTGCCACAGTCAATTAACACGTCCGTTCCCATGTTCTATCTTACATACTCAGAACTCGTTCATCTTGTAACAGAAAGCGTGTGCCCTTGACCAACAGTGTGTTTTCTGTCTTAACAGAATCAAGGACAGAGAAGGGGATAGTGGAGGAAAATGGAGTTAGTCTTTCTAAATGAGGGGACAGTATGTTTCATGGGGCATGAGGACAGCTTAATAAACTACAATGTGCATTAAAAACTAGTTCTCTAGCTTTTCCAGCTTATTACCCCTTCTCTGGTAGTAGCTATGAAAATCTGATATGAAACAGAACATTTTTTCTTACCACTGTCATCCATTAACTTATTTACTAGATACTATTACTATCTCTGTTTCTCAGATGGGGAAGAGAGCCAAAGAAATGCTAAGGAATTTGCCCAAGTTCACACAACCAGTACCAGGCAAATGGCAGGTCTGGGATTAGGGCACTGGGGAGGGGAGGTTGGGTAACCTATATCCTGCTCACAGTGACCCAGAATGGAGAAGAATGCAGGAGGAGGAGCTGGAAACAGAAGCTTTTTGTAGAGGTGGGTATGGGGATTTGAGAGAAGACTTTAAAAGTAATGTTGGGGCTGGGCGTGGTGGCTCATAACCTGTAATCCCAGCACTTTGAGAGTCTGAGGGAGGCACATCACTTGAGGTCAGGAGTTCAAGACCAGCCTGGCCAACATGGTGAAACCTTGTCTCTATGAAGAATTCAGAAATTAGCCAGGTGGGGTGGTGGTGCATGCCTGTAATTGCAGCTATCCTAGAGGCTAAGGCAGAGGCAAAATTGCTTGAATCTGGGAAGCAGACATCACAGTGAGCAGAGATGGTGGTCCTGCACTTTAGCCTGGGTGACAGCGAGACTCAGTCTCAAAAAAAAAAAAAAAATGACGTCTGACCTGAGGTTTCTTCCGAAGTGTGACAAAATCTCACCTGAGTCTGCTATCCCAACAGACTCTGGACAGAGTGAGGCATGTAAGTATGAGGCTCTTAACGAAATGGAGGGCCCATGAGTGCCACCTTCTGAAATAAAGGATAAAACTTAGTGCAGTTTTGCCAGTGACCTGGGTGAAAAACAGAAGGCATGCATGTTATATTTGTGGAGGACAAGGAGTTAGAAGGAATTGCAACTTCATCAGTGTGCAAAATGAGGATTCAAAAAGATCTCAATAGTCATATGTTAAACTCCAGCTTATTAAATTTTATTGAATTGAAATTCAATAGTAATAAGTCAGATTCTGCCTTTGGGTTCAAAAGTCAACTCTTCATAGATAAGTAGGAAAGATATAGAATTTTTAGAACTAGGGAGACACTCTGCTGATTGCACCCTACCCCTGTATCATGTTCTGTCTTAAGTGCAAAACTTGAAGAGCATTATCAACAAATGAATATATTCAGAGGAGTGATCTGAATGGCAAAAGGATCTAAAATTTGTCATGTAGAAACTTCTGAAAGAATCAGCATCAAGCCCAGAGAATAAAGACTCAGACAAAACAAAATTATAGTCTAGATATACTGTATAATGGACTGAAGGGAGAAAATTGGGACCAATGGATGGATACTGCTGATATAATTCAGAATGTAGTGCCCCTCAGAGATTTAAGGGGGGGTGGGTGTTGTGCACTGGAAAAAAAATAGTAGTTTCCAAGTCAGGCAGAACATGTTTAATTCCAGACTCCTGGCAAAGTTTTATGTCATCCTCAGTTTTCTCATTTTAAAAATTGTGGTAATATATGTATTCTGCAAAGTTTGGAAATGTAAAATAGCAGGGTCTGTAAATCACTTTGCCGTACCTCAACCAAGAGCTGTGTATGGTCGATTTTAATGGAGTATTCTAGATCAGGGTTGGCACACTTTCTGTAAAGGGCTAGGGAATAAATTTTTTAGGTATACAATGATACCACTCTGCAGTTGTATTTAGAAAGCACCCATAGACAATGAATGATCATGGCTGTGTTCCAGTGAAACTTCTTTTATGGGCCAGGTGTGGTGGCTCACGCCTGTAATCCCAGCATTTTGGGAGGCTGAGATGGGTGGATCACCTGAGGTCAGGAGTTCAAGACCAGCTTGACCAACATGAAGAAACCCCATCTCTACTAAAAATACAAATTAGCCAGGTGTGGTGGCACGTACCTGTACTCCCACCTACTCAGGAGGCTGAGGCAGGAGAATCACTTGAACCTGGGAGGCAGAGGTTGCAGTGAGCTGAAA